GTTTTTTTTTCCATAGAATTTTTTCTAATGTTTGACACTATTTCAGAAAATCTACATGCCGCCAATTCCGCGTTCATGGTTTCAGTTACATTTTTCCATTTCGTGTTTTTGAGTAAATTTTCAAAAGTATGTATGTTTAGTTTTTCAACAGTCCTGGTAACCATTTTACTTTCAGATTTAATTCTATTATCCCTATCCTGTAAGGTAAGTACTATAGGGAAGTGGTCTGTTATATCAGCCTCCAGAATGAAGGATTTAATATTATATTTATTTTTGTTGTTGTTTTTAACAAATATATGATCGATGCATGAACCAGAATTTAAACATATACGAGTATAACCATTAATCAACGATTCAAAACCAAAAGAGTTCAAAAGGGAAATATAAGTATTACAATAGTTATCATTTTTCTTCAAAATATCAATATTGATATCACCTAAAAAGATTTCAATATCGCTTATAGAATTATTCTTCAAAGTCATTCAAAAAAAGTTGAGTAGATGAGGAGGGTGGTCTGTACATGCATGTAATGCGATAAGTAGCATTATCTATAGTAAACCACAATGTAGTAAGTGAGGTTCCCGATGTATGTAATTTTGAGTCATTGATTTTAGCGTTAAAAGAAGTCTTGGTAAAAATTATGAGGCCATCATTTTGGTTAAAGTTTCCGTGATTGTAGTGAACATAGTAACCCGGAATACAAAATAAGCTTTCATCAGAAACTTTCCAGCACTCGCTCAATATGATGATATCACTAGATAGGTTATAGGCCTGAAAAAAGGCAATAAGATTGTCAAAGTTTTTTTGTATGCTCCGGATATTCAGATGCAAAACATTTAATAATTTAAAGTTAGTATTAATAAGCTTAGAGATTTCATTACAGTCCGTCCTAACTTGACACTCAGTTTCACATAGATCAAGTTCGTTAAATATGGTAATTTCATTCTGAATGTCAGCCATTAAAAACCAGAGTAGTCTATTTTACTTCTCAATATCTTAATGTGATATTTATAAGTTGGACAAGTTGAGTCACTAGCTTCATGTTTGGTATCATACTTACATCCGTACTTTGTATTTGCTTTTTCACAATTTTTGCAGTGTTTTTGATCTTTAGTGCACTCACGGTATTCATGATTACCACCACAATAACCACATCGTAGCTCATATATGTGCAATTTTGATTGTTATGGAAATAATCCTGGCACTTAAAGCAGCGTTGAACACTTATGTCTTCGTAGATAGGGTAACTCTGCCATTCCAGATAAATCCTTTTATTTGCAAGCAGTCGGTGAAATAGGGTGGCATTGCAGTTTCCATAGATAGTACGTGTTCCGTTGATTACCTTTTCCTAAAGTTCCAGTTTTTGCGACCATTTTCGTTAGTTTATTATGTAGGAGAAATAGGGCTTCTATTATTGAATGTTTGTCCGATTTGGTTGATGACGAAATGTCATCTTTCTCAATTCTCGCGAGAGATTTTATGCCATCAAGCGCTTTAAGTACCGCAAATAGTTCGCTCCCCTCATCTAGAGTATTATGCACTCCATCAGGATCAGTGATATCACCGTCTGATATCTCCGATTCTGAAGTCGGTGGAATATCTAAATTGCTTGCTGATAATTTTTTTTAGCTTGCCCTAGTTCGTTTGGGATTATTTCGAGGATTATTTAAGTCTGGGCTAGTACGAGGACTTTTATAGCGGTCTTGTACCATAGTATTTACAGTATTTGAACTGGAATTATTTTTTGTCTTTTTTGTAGTTGGTATATCTGATAAATATTTTTTTGCTTGCAATAAATCGATAGGTACCAATAATCTAGTTTACGTCCGACCTTGAGAAACTCGACGATTCCAATGAATGCTTCTTTTGCTTGACTTGAGTGTTTATTTTTTCACTCTCACTTTCGCTTTCACTGTTTTCACTCATTATGAGTGACGTACCTTGTGAGGTTCGAGGTAGCTAAAAATGCATATATAACTTTGGTATTAACTACTACTATTAAAACCAAAAATGCGAACAAAAAACGCGGAGCACAATAATATACGTCTTTTCACTACGGCGTACAAATTGTTAATCACCTAAAATGGGAAGCCCATATTTCTCCAGTTGTCAAGAGGACAAACTCTTTTGTATACCTAGCAAAATACATAAAACATATATCAGACCTCAATTGGAGTTCGCACATTCGGTTTGGAGCCCATACCTGATTAAAGACATTGAGATCTTGGAAAGAATCCCGCGTAGTGACAAAACTCCCTCCTGAAATCAGAAATCTCTCATACTAAGAAAGACTACTGAGATACGACATAACAACCCTAAAAGCTAGACGAGAGAGAGGGGACTTGATTGAGACGTACAAAATCTTAAATCACCAATATTCTCCAGATTTGCAACTGGACATTTTCAGGCTAAATACTAACCAGCAACTCCGAGGCCATACTAAGAAAAAAGGGTAGTCTATCAGTGGACCGCCCTTCAGGAAAGCACAGTAGAGGTGGGAAACTATCGATGGTAATTATCGATATATCGATAGTTTGCTACACTATCGAACTATCGATAGTTCTACTTGGACAATCGATAGCAGTCCTCCTATCATTTACATTGCATCTTTCATCATATTTTATGATTGTCTTTTATTTTGGTTGGTTTGGTAGTTGAATCAACATTAAAAAAGATGAAGATGAGTTTATGTTTTCTGTTATCATCAGTTAACAACAAACCTACAACTCAACCTGTGAGTCAACTCTACACTTTATTTCAGTCGTGTTTACTTTTGTTTTTTACTTCCAGTTTATAGAAAAAAAATGGGTGTAATTAAATATTGTTATTTGCGTTAATAATTTTCATTTGGGTATTGTTTCTCTAAATCTGGTTGTGATATGGGTCCAAAACGTTAACTTTTTTCTTTATCGATAGTAATATCGATACATCGATAGTTTTTATTTATTACTATCGATATATCGATAGTTAGATTCTTCGATAATTTCCCACCTCTAAAGCACAGTCAGTGCTTATTCAGAGAACACATTCAAAAACAGACTTGACCGAAACCTGGAGAGAGCTAGACTGAATTTTGTGCGTGACATGTGACTGTGAGTGAAAACAAAGATAACAATACAGCAGTACTCATCGGCGTTGCCGCTTACTACTGCTCCAACCTATAATAATAATGATAATGATAATAAGAGTCTTTTGAATCTATAACTTTCAATGAAGAAAAACTGAAAACTATGAAAAAAGAGTCCAGATGAAATACCTACGATACTTCTGCAGAACTGTGGCGAAGCGATTAGTTCTCGACTAGCTGGGGTTATGCAGGAGTGTTTAATACTTGAAAAAATTCCACAGCAATGAAAAAAATCGATAGTAACTCCACTGTTTAAAACGAAATTTAAAAAGAGTGATCGACATAGACCAAAAAACTATAGGCCTATCAGTCTAACACGCAATCCACTAAAATGTATGGAAAAGATAATTTTTAAAGAACTGACAGCGTTTTTCTTTGAAAAAAATCTCATACTACCCTCACAACACAAATTTCTCTGTATACGTTCTGTCCCACATAAGCTACTTCCAGGAATCTTGAGACACTTAGGAGTCAACTCGTTGCAGTAATAGAGAATCTACCTACAGCATGGGAGATTTTATCAAGTCAAGAGTGCTGTCAAATCAACATTTGTTAGTAGTGTAGTTATTCAGGGTTCGGTCATGGGCCCTTTGCTTTTCACATCATATTTATTCGATCTTGTTAGTCTCATATTGTACCCGCTAGTACATGCGGGGCAGCTAAGGGCTGACCTAAAAACTGATGAAGAATGGTCTACAGTTTGGGGAATGAAGTTGAATCAGTGTATGTACCAGTCTTCAGAATCGGTCCAAACGAAGAATACGAACTAAACAATGTTGCATTACAATCTGTAACAAATCAAAATGACCTAGGAGTCATGATAACTTCAGATTTGAAATGGGAGAACCACATTTTAAAGATTGCCAAAAAAGCCAATTTTTTTGTATACCTCATTGAACAAGCATTTATGGCCGTTCCCACCATCTATTTTAGGGGAGCCTTAACGATAAGTATTCAATAAAAGGACAGTCTTCCATGGGGAAATGTCAGTTTATGGAATACTTATCGCTAAGGCTTCCCTAAATTAGTTGGTGGAATTGGCCATTTAAGAGGATAGAAATGATAGGCAAACTGTACTGCAATACGCTTTCTCGGTGTGGAATCACTACTATGTCAAAGGTATAGAAGTTCTAGAGAAGATTCAAAGACGAGTTACAAAAAAACCACCAGTACTACGAGACCTTCCATAAACAGAGAGATTGACAAGACTAAAACTAATAACTTTCAAGGAGAGAAGATATAGAGGAGACTTAATTGAAATATGCAAAATAACCAGTAACCACTATAATTGCAATATCAGAGAAATCTTTGTACAAAACTAAAACTATCTTCATGGGCACTCCAAGAAACTCAAAAAAGAAAAAAACCGCAAAACAGCCTCAAAGAAACTTTTTGAGCAAAACAGTTATTTATTCATGGAATGCCCTGGAAGAGCAGACAGTGTCAACACCAAGTTTCAACGCGTTCAACAATAGACTAGACAAAGAACTCAAGAATAGTACAGTTAGAATGATACATTACAGTGCATAAACAGTTTACAATACACATACAAGAAAAACAGATTTTTAAAAACACCGCAATATCTTCATTGGTTTTACCGCCAGCTATTGAACAAATTACATGATTACACGATTATCAGCAGTATATGCAAAATATAGCAAATTCAAAATGCTGATAATCTTTTAGTTAAAACATTGTAAAAAGTGTTCAATTCATGTAAATTGAATAACACCTCATTCCAATAAATGCATACAAAATTATGTTTTAATTATTCTGTCAGATAATAGTAAATGGATTTCAGTTAAATTCAATAGGTACTGCTTGCAATACGAGAGATTCTGATATCGTAAATGGTTAACCAAAATATTCTTACCCTCTGAGGTCTAGCCTGAGTCACATGATGAGAATAACAATGCAAAAACGGATCGAATCCTCCTTGGACAGCTTGCTGAGTCATATGAACGTGAGGCCGAGGAGTCGAACGTGTATGAGTCGATGTAGTAGGATTAGTTTGGGTAGATCTGGCCTGAGACTGTTGCGATTGCGCACTGCCCACTTGCTGTTGATTAGGTTGAGCGGGACCGTTCGGCCGGTTGTCAGCTTGTAACTGAGTGATTGTATCACCCAGTTGCGAACCGACCAATTGCATCAAGGACTGTATTAAATTTCCGCCGCGTAAAGCTTCTGGGGTGACCTCCATAAAGAACTCCAAGTTGCCGTTTGGTGAACCCAAATTACTATTACCCAGTTGTCCGCTTGTTTGTTCTGGTTGTCTGCTTGTTGGTGTTTCAGGTTCTGCTGGCTGGCGATTTGATTGCTCTTGACTGGAATTATTTTGCTGATCTGGTTGGGTTTTTTCTGTGCTAGGTGTTGATCCGGAAGGAGCACTCGCAGTTGTAGATGGCTCACTTGTGCCTGAAGGTATAGTAGTAGCGGTATTGTTGTTGTTATTAGTAGAGCGTGATCTAGGACTATTTGCGCCCATCGTACGGATTTCTAGGGGCGAACGGTAGACTCGCATTGGGACTGCGGACATTATTGGCATGCCTGAAATATTTGCAAATTTGGCAACGTTTGTTTGGGAATGTTCCAGTTTTGCCAAATTGTTGGAAATTTACTTTTTTAGGCAATGTGGCATATTGAGTTTTCGCAATTGATGCTGTTGCCTTTCCATATCAACATTTTGTTTTTAAAAAAATATAAAAAATTATAAATTATCCAGTCCACAGAGCCAATTGTCTCTAAATATGAATAATTTAATTTTCTTAATATCGATTTTGTTTCGTAATAAATACATCAGTAAAATAATGTCCACAACACATCCAGACTTTCCAACAAAAAAAAAACTATAACAAAGCAAACTAACTCTAGCAACATCACATATAAAATAAAAACCCATTTGGTTAATCAAATTTTCTTGATAACTTGTGACTGGAAAACAATTAAACAGTTTATTAGTAGGGATGTAGTCTTGTATTATTCAAATTAGGCTACTCTTTCTCGCCAAAATATATTGATATAAAAGATAACTTACTGCAAACTGAGGTTATATTAGAAAAGAACCAAAACTCCAAAAATAAAACAAAAATGAAAATAATCAAATATTGTATTTCTGCAGATGGCTCAGTGCAATAAATCATGACATTACTTGCATGGGTTTTTATTTTATTCCAGCTTCTAATCAATTCTGTTGAAATTGCACCAAAAATATTCTTACCAATAAATGATGAATGCGCAGGTGGACGTGGACCACCTGGTGGACCATTTGTTCTTCTAGCACGTCCGAGTTGGGGACCTAACCGAACATGTTCTTCTATAATGGCCACACTTACAGGCACAACGTTAATACTAGGTCCGCCATTATTAGGTCTGACATCATTAGTAGTACTAGTAGGAGGCGTACCAGTGACAGTATCAGGGGAAGTAGTAGTTGGGGTAGTTGGTGTGGAATTGGTGGTAGCAGGGGGTCTGTCAGGCAAGAGGTTGATTTGAGCCTAAGAACATTTTAATCTGAAAAAAGTTGAAACATACAGCTGACAGATGTTACCTCAACTTGTATGGGTATTCCACCCTGAACCACAGTAGGGGGTTGGATCAGAATCGGTCGACAAAGTAGTAACCTTGGTGGAGGATGTTCTACATCAATAATAATGTCACTTAGACTGTGATAGGCGTGACCCAAAAAGTGTAAGACTTGAGAGACTCTGTTGAGCAAATGACGAATGTCTTGTACACTCTAGATAGAAAGAGAAAATTACATATTAATATTTTTTGTATTTTTTTCATATCAAATACAATTGGTTATTGAGAGTTCTTACATCAGATGCTACATGTGGATCTTCTTGCATAAAAGCTTGGTATCTGGCTAAATATGGTGCAAAACGAAGTTGAAGCTGATTTAGAGTGTTCAATAAAGTTGCCATTTCTTCACCTCTGCATCTAAAACAACAAAAATAGTTTTGCTGACATCAAAATAAAATGTATTGTCCGTCGTTTTTAATCTGACACTTTCCATATGAGGAGCGAGGGGATGAAGATGAGGTGAAGCATATGGCAAAAACAGGTGTGACGTCAGGGCCGGGACTCTGTAACGGATAGAGATATTTTCTCTATCTCTATTGACGTCTCCTCTCTATTGATTTCGACAAATGAGAAGAAGACAGCAACTGCCATAGCGATAAGGATAACGATCTCTATGCGTTACAGAGTTCCAGCCCTGGTGACCTTTGGCATTCTAATGTAGGGAACCACCAGCTCACATTCCTTTGGAGTATCAGATTAAAATAGACAGGCTTTATGTACTTACGTCCTAGGTTGTCTAACTCTTTCTCTTTGACCTTGGCCATTTCTTGGCAAATTATTAGAGTTATCTGATGGAGTTGACTGACCTACACTTGGTGTATTATTGGAATTGTCAGCATTGCCAGCATTATCAGAAGGTTGATCTTCAGCATTTCTTGACAAATTATGAATGAATGAAATTGCTGAGGAAATTGCTTCACCTTCAGAGTTAGAAACAGTAGCTGGCTGAGGGGTTGTAGAGTCTGGAGTAGCTGAACTGCTACTAGCACTGTCAGTATTTAAAGTCATAGAAGTAGTACCCTCAGGGGGAAAAATACTATTTTGAACAGCACTTATAATGGCATTACTGTCTAAAGGCAGTAACTGCTGATCACCAGTCACAGGAACAATAACTCTGGCTTCGATTACAGGTGTCATCTCTTCTTCAGTAGGTTCTTCTGGGGAAACAGTATCATCACTACCTCCTCCATCAGCATTTTCTAATTGCCTGATGACATTTCCGGCATGCCTGAGCATCCTTCTAGCAACATTCAATCTGCTGGCACTCAAAGTGTGAGTGGCTCTGGGAGGAATCATTTGATGAGGGTCCATGCTTGGAAAAGACATGGACCCCATGCCCATGTAAACGTTGCCAATGTGCTGGTCAATAACTTCATAGGTGAAGGGGCGGCTTCCTCTAGCTCTGGGAAAGCCACCTCCCGCGGCTCGGTTAAAGTCGGGTGGCGGTGTTAGGGACCTTCCTGTGCGAGGGGTGGAACTGGGAGGCAGACGTTGGACCAGGTGGACAACTTTGTCGTTCACATCTGAAATAAATGGATAAGCAAGGAAATCATTTTTAACTAAAATTCAAATTGGCAATTGCTCCAACCAGATTTTTTTGTAATGGTTTTTTACATCAAACCAAGTTCAATTGCTAATAATAAAAATATGCCAACCTCTATACTTTTGTTATCAAATTAAATTCAAATCCTGATAATAAAAATGCTATTAAGATATGAAACATTTTATGCTTATTAATAGTTTGTTTCAATTTCCTATAACTGCTGATGATTGCATTATGTATGACTAGGTAAAAACGATAAAAGAACTTGCAATGCAAAGTAATTAGAATTTATGGAGCACTGTTATGTTATTTTTAGATTATTAGCTAATAATAGCATAAATGCTGGAGTCAAATTCAGTTAAATCCTTATGATGATCATTATGAATATGAATAATCTAATATATGAATGTTAATTGATTGATTATGCACTAAATACAATTTCTTAAAATTCTTACCGTATTCAGAAAGTTTAGAAGTATCCTGAAGCACTCGCCCACAATAAATAATCCTCTGTCTAACCGCTGGAACGTCGACCCTTTCTGCAATGTGGCTTTTGAATTCTTCAACTGTGATCTACAATAGAACAGTGGCTCATATGAATTACAATGAATTTGTTATTAGAGCATTATTCAGTTTTCAAATGAATAATAAGTAGGTATCAGGAAAATTTCTGGCATAAGTTTTCAGGTTTTTTCTGTGGGTACTATGGGGCACTTATAACTTATGTATGCTTCTCTTGAAGTAAAATACTTACGTTTTCGTCCACAGTGAATTGATGATTCTGTGAATCCAGTGTTTTAACAGTGATGTTGATCATCTTGTTGAAAAAAAGTGAAACACTATTTTTAAGGAGAGTATTTAAGAAATCACTGCTGAATTCTAGAAAATACTTATTTCGTGCCAACAAGCACTAGTCATCGGCTATTGTTTTTATAATTCGTCACAAGGAGCTGCAGTGGGTAATTAATAATAGAATACACATATTTTTGGGTAAATATCAATAATTTCCACAAAACGACACCAGACACCAACTTTTTAGTTTTTATCAAGAATTTTCACAATTTTTTTTAAGGTTTGACTACTTTACTTTTGACTGCCTGCCTGCGAAATATCTGACATTTCTTCCCCCCGACACTTGCTTACCGTGCGTTCGGTATTTTGATCTGGTTCACCGAGCATAAATTTACCGTTCGTTTATTTAAAAAGTGTATTCGGTGCAGGCTTATTCATGTTCGTTTATTAAAATTTTGACCCTCTGATACAGAGTTTAACTGCTCTGTGCGCTCGCTTTTCACGTGATTACGGCTCCGCACTGCACGCTCTGCTCTTTGAGCAAAATACCGAACGCAAGGTAACTTTTTTTTTTTGTTCCAGAGCAGTTGTTTGTATTTGAGGTGGGTTCTGCTTGCTCAATTCGTGCACTCCAAGTGACTCCATTCGCACTCCAGCCGGTCGGGTATTGCTTTTTGGCGTATTAGGGGTGACTCATTTAGCGTTCGACTATACGGAGTGGAGTAAATAGAGTTCACTCCAAAAGTTCCACCTCGGAAAGGATTTTCTTAGACGTTGTGGTTATTAAAAAAATAAAAAATTGTTTTTTTTTTATTGATAACCTATTTCACTTATTTAAAGTACTCCTCAGCGTGTTTAAATCCAACATTCAAAAACGCGCGTGTTTTAAAGTTACCAATGACAACATCAACAACCAACAACCCGAGAAAGGTTTAAATGTCAACTTTTTAATTATTGATTTGTCAGGAGTAGGTTAGGTACTTGTAGATAACGTCAAATAAAATGTAACAAGTGTCAAGCACGAATGTAGCATTCTACAATAGGCTCCTTGCATCAAATTTTTTTAGTTCGATAGTTCATGAAAAATAAGTCAACACGTGTTTTTTCTTTTTCTTGTGAGTCAAAAATTGACGGAGATACAACGCTTTGAAATGTCCTTCCCACGTCATAACTTAGGTATAAAACGTTGTGAGTTGTGACGTCGCACATGCTCAGTATATCTATATATATAAAACTCAATATTTGTTATAACTTCCGAAATAATCATATTTCGACAAAATAGAAAAACACGCATCGACTTTTTTTCGATTTCCTACAGTTTGCAATAAACAATATTCAATTTAATTTTTCATGCAAGTACCCTAAATCGTATACCAATAAAAAAAAATAGTGTAAAGTATTCGTGGATAACTGGTCTTTAAAACACTTGCTCTATTTCGAGCACTCGGCTGCGCCGTCGTGCTCGAAAAATCGCGCGTGTTTTAAAGACCTTAATATCCACTTATACTTTAATATACTAATGTGTGGATGCGGGAATTGGTAAAATCATCGAGTAAAATAATTGATCTAATTTTAAAATTTATTAAAGGGCGTGTGCGCCAAAAATTAAAGTTTTAGTGTAAAAAAATCTAAGAATAACTGTTCAAACCTCGTTATTCTACGATAAACCATCGCTGAGATATACCGCTTTAAAGTGTGGACGACGCTCTCGTGACGTCACGAAAACTTGTCCAGCCGCGCTCCGCATTGTTAATTTGACTGTTCCCGGCACGCGTGAGTGGTTTTTGTTTAGATTATTGCAGGTAACTCAGGAGAAACATATGTAAATTTAATTAACTCCACTTTCTCGTGCGTCGCTTGAGCTTTCGTGACGTCATAGGGTGAGATGCAGACCATCATAGAGCCATATCTGCGGTATTATTGGTCATAGAGGGATGCGGATTTCACTGTTATTCTTAGATTTTTTTTCTCTTTTTTTTGATACGAAGTTGTTTTTTTGGCGCACACCCCCTTTAAGCATGATGGAAAAATTTCCTTGACAAAGTTAAAGAGCGTTTGTCTAGCTCATAGAAAATAAGAATGTCTGTCTTATAATGCTGGCAGCAGATGGATCCATTGCTGAATAAAAGAACGCGCCCAAACAGAGGCAAAAGCATCAATAATTCATTATTGTGGACGAATTGAAGTTCTTTAATAGTACACGAAAGACCAAAGGCAAAAGTGAAAAAAAATTTGGAAACTTTCGTATTTACCAATGTACTATAACCACTTGTGTATGCTTACACTATTGACGGAACTGCTTTGGACCGACTTGATCAAATAGCGGATCTTGGAATTATATTTGATGCTAAATTCACTTTCATTTCTCAATTAAACAACCTCTCACGGTCGGCCAATCACTAGGATTTATAATCAGAAACTCTCGAGACTTTAGAAACGAATCGACTATTATTATATTACTGCTTTGTACGTTCAAAACTAGATTATGGGGGCATCATTTGGAACCCTATTTACGCATGTCATGTGAGCTCGGTGGAGTCGGTTCAGCGTAGGTTCCTGAAATATCTTGTTTTTAAGTGTGACGGGGTGTATCCGGAGAGAGGATGTGATAACAGGGTTTTGCTCACGCGCTTTGACGAGTTATCCTTATTTATTAGACGAAAGATATTATTGATTAAATTTTTGTTTAATTTGCTCCACAATATAATTGATTATCCTTTCCTTTTGTCTAATATTAGCATTCTGGTACCTCGTTTGAATGCCAGACGCTCACTAACCTTCTTTCTCGATACTCCCCGGACAAATGTGTTATTCCAGTCACCATTATACATGATGTGTTATACAAGTCTATGGTTATACTTTTAACGAGATATGTGATATCTGCGATATTTATAACAGCCCTATTAGTTTAATTGTTGAAGAGTTAGTGAGAACACATACCTAACTCTACTACAGAGGCAACCTTTTTATACCTTAATTTTTAATTTAATTTGAGTTAATTTTTCCTTTTTTGTTATTTTGCAATTAATTTTTTTTTTTTTTTTACGGATATGCGCACTCGCAAGGAAATGTCCTATTACGCTCGAGAAGAGGCGAGTGCGCGGAAATGTCGGTGTATGTTGGTCTTGAAACGGTTCAGGTTGTAACCTGCAGGGAAAACCGTCGCAGGGAGTTTATTCCACAGCGATGCTGTTCTCCAGAGATATGAATTCTGACATAATGAGGTTCTTGGTGCCTCTAGTTTGACAGTAAATTCATGGTTACCGTCTGTTTGACGGGTTCGCCTGGTAGGCGCTACTCTCGGTGGAATCATACGTGCCAACTCTTCAGAGCATTTTCCGTGATAGTACCTGTAGAATATTGATTTTCTTGTAATTGACGTTTTCAAATAAAAAAGATAGACGATAAGTATGAAAACATTCGTTTTCCCGCCAACATTTGCTTGCTTGTCAATGTCAATGTGTATTGGGTGTTTAGCAATTCCCTCGTTTTTATTCGAATCGGTGACTTCACCAAGAGTTAGCTACCTTTGTTAAGTGAATGGAAAATGACAATAACTGATATAGAATGGTGGATCCATCGGTAACATTTGCGCAGGGTTTGAAATTGAGAAGAAAATGTGGGAAAAGTCACTGCTTCATTCGCAGAACTTCGCTATGAAGACGGTAATGGATTATTTTGGAAGCAAACAGCTTCCGCAAACTAAACTTGAACGTGGATTACTTTGTATACTTGATGGGACCTGGATTTCCCTTTCTTTTGCGAGTATCCTTTCTGATTTTGTGTATCCAAATTTTGACAAATGTAGAATTTGATGGAAACTTATGGAAAGACGCATCCGCCGGTGAATAGGATTTATTTTTATGAAAACGCACACTACACAGAATCACCATTGTTAGGAAAAAACCTTGAAAAACCGAGGAAATAATAGTTATTTTTCAAAAGTCTGTCTACAAACCACTGTCAAAGGCTGTCAACCATTGTTTTCATACTCTTTTGGCATCTGACAGTTTGATGCCAGAGAGAGAGGCTTTTAAATTGAAAAGGTCAATTGGGCTTCTGGCCGGTTGGAAATAAAGACTTATTATTATTATTATTATTATTATTATAACCAAAAACTGGAATGCTAACACATAAGGACGAACGAGAAGCCTAGTGCGGCTGCTGCGGAGGGGATACCTGTTTTTGTCGCACTCATTATGTTAAATGGCGAAAATTGCTTCCAACACGTATTCCAATTGATGAAACCTGTGAAGGGAAATATGACAAAACTTTCGAAAACGTCATATGTCAGCGAGCAACAGAGAAAAACAACATTCCCCTTTGTGGCATCTGTCTTTCATGGCTAAATTTTTTTGGCAGATATGGCACTGTTGGCTGTTTGCACGGGTTACCCTCAAAACTTACTCCTACGTAAGTGTAACCTAAATCTGAGGTGTACCCTAACGATTATTTCGTTTGCAAGGGTTCCCCTTGTCCAAAGTTTACCTAAGTGGTAGGTAAAACAGGAACGGCTAATTGTAGCGCAAATGAGTACAGCGTTGCCGTTCCCTCTCCAGCTGGCGGGTATTTAAAATAGAAAATAGAATTCTATTTCTATATTATTAAAGCATTGAAAATAGAATTCTATTTCTATATTATTCAAGTATTGAGTGAATTGAGGTGTGGTGTTTTGTTTATTTTAAAAATGGAAAATTTTAACTTTCAATATTTGATTAGTTAAATAATAATTTACCTACTTTAAAAATTGAAAATATTAATTACATGCATAGGTACATAGGTACTCATATACATATATGAAAGAAACACAATCTTATGTGAAAAACTGGTAAGTTCACATGGTTTTGTTTTTTGATTGAAAATCCAAAACTTATACCTTTTTTCTCTCTAGCTAGGTGGTTGTGATCTTTACTTGAGATAATGGACCCTTTTCGGAAATATCGGAGTTCTTTTTATAGATAGCTATATTCATCTTCATGTAGATTCTAGCAATACTTATAAAAATAATATAAGGCTCTTCTTGATGTGTATTTCTTTTCCACATTCTATTATTAAATAAAAACAAATTACAATAGGTACTTAATTGTTTTAATAATAATCTGGCATTGTTGAGTCAGTGTCCTATAAAATCTATGGTCCTATACCTATTGATAAATGTGTGCGGGTAGGTACATGAACTAAATAAGCTTTTTATTTAAAACCAAAAGGTCCCAATCTTACCACAATACAGTTAAGTAAATAAGGTTATGAAAAAGTGAAATTGAGAAACATAAAAAAAAAAACCTTTTCTTAAAGCCAAACCGCCTGCCATAGTTCATTACGCCATCATAAATGAAC